CCCCCCAAGAAAACTATTTCTATTCAAAAGTCATATATCTATTCAAAATTTGTTATCAATTTGAATAAAAGCTGTTATTAATAGGAACAGTTGTTAGATACAGTTGTTATTAAAAGATTAACGTTGATAAAAACTAATTTTTTAAATTCTTCAAATTATTTAAATGCAAACGTTCTTAAAGTCCATAACCCCCTCTCCCCTTCGTTCGTAAAAGTTCGCTTTGGCCGACACCCTTCCCCCCAAGTGCGAACGTACTTTGAGAACGACCTTTTATATTTTTTGCTGATTTAATTCTTGTATTAATTACAATGTTGTTAACAGTACAGGTGCGAGTGTCCACACACAACCACAAATATCTGGTCAAATACTGTAAACTTTAATTTGACATTTGTATATTATGTGATATAAGATTCAATTTAATTGGATAGGGTATTAAATAGTTATTTAAAAAACAATTTACTGAATTTACTATGGTTTACTATTTTTTAATAGTCACAGAGTTATATATAAAATACTTGTGTTTGTAACAGTTATGAATGATTTACAAATTATAATTAATTACAAAAATTAATTTGTTTTATACATTAAAAATTTATAGAAAAATAAATTATTTTTCAATTTAAGTTGATTTAGTGTTGCTTTGAAAACTTTAATATTAGTGATAACAGACTTATCTATAGACCAGTCCTCTTGTTTAGCCAACACTTTCCGACAGTCAGGCCTTTGTCTCCAATTGGGTGTTGACATCATTGCCACTAATGTCTGGTATAGACATAGTATTGATGTCTTAAACATCGATTCTTTGGCATAAAATGATTCCGAGCTTTAAAATAATTAGTTATAAATGTTTAAAATTTATATTTAATTAAAATTTCAATAAAACACTTACGCCTGAAGATCGATATCAACCAACTGTTTACCGATTAAAGCAAGGCTAAAAATATCTGCTTTATGAGTATATTTACTCTTCGAAGTGACTTCGGGTGCCATACATTTATATATGTTCAATTCGTGTTCAGTGGCTAAACCAAAGTCACAAAGTTTTACGATACGTTTAGACGTAAAGTTGTTTGTAACCAAAATGTTTTCGGGTTTGAGATCCCGATAAATAGCAGAGGGTTTGGATTCGTGAAGATATTGAACACATTCTAAGATTTCTTTAAATATTTCACATGAAATAAAAAACTCAAAGACATTATTAATCACTTCTTCCGGTTGTCTCTCGAAGACAATGGGTTTGTCTTTGAGAACAGATTTAAGACTTTGTGAACAGAACTCCATTTGAATGAAGAGATGATTGGACTNCCGGTTGTCTCTCGAAGACAATGGGTTTGTCTTTGAGAACAGATTTAAGACTTTGTGAACAGAACTCCATTTGAATGAAGAGATGATTGGACTCAAGCCATGAGTTGTAATACTTTACCACATATTCTGAGTCCAGTTCTGTCAAATATTTAACTTCTTTCAAAACAGTTTCTTTCTTTTCTTCAGTAAAATCTGTAAAATATTTTTAAAATTGCAAACTATTTAAACAATTGTTAATTATATTTACCACGAAATTGTACTATTTTAATAGCGTATATCTTATCATCCAATCTATGCTTTACTTTATATACAGTCCCAAAACCACCCGAACCTATGGCTGACATCTCAATGAATTGGGTTTCATAGTTCCCTTCACTTTTATTTGCTGCTAATAATAATTAGAAAATTACTTGATAGTTAGAATTATACTAAATGTAAAACATTTTAAATATTATTAAAAATAAGATAGAAAATGTATTAAAAATTACCACTTGGTTGTATTGTAATATAACTTTTGCTATGACTGGCCATTGGTTTGTTATAATTGTCTTTTGAATTATCATTCATTTTGTTTAAATTAATTATATTATAAGTTATTTTATATTCATTGGCGTAAAAGTCTATACGGTAAGTTTCATTATATTATAAAAAATTGTTTAATTATTTTCATAAAGCTAATATTTTACACAAAATAGTTGTTTAAAAACTACATTCAAAACAATAAAGTTTTTGGTTGTTAGAGACGAACACAAAACACATGATAATTGCCATACAATTCATAACAACTGATAACGTTATTCAACAAAGACTTGTAAATACTCTATACGTTATTATTATCAGTGTTTTATAAATAGTGAATTTTATTTATGCAGTGATCAGTAGTGTTGCCAGGTTATTTTCTCTATTTCCTTGATATATTCAATTTTTTAGTAAATTTTCCGGGAGATTCCTTGAGATTTTCTAAAAAATTCCTTGATTCTTTCCTTGAGGTGGCAAAATAGTCCTAAAATGTCATTAAAATCTAATAATTATCAGAATAATCAGTCTAAACTCTAAATAACGTTTTAATTTACATGATTTTTGACATTATTTACTTAAAATTACTATACTCACTGTATTCTGAATTACTCTACTCACTCACCAAATATTATGAATTAAGTAAAACAATCATTGTGAGTTCTTTATCAGGTTTCCAAGCAAAAAATGTAAATTGTATCAATATATTCATCATTGTGCAATTCCGGGAGCTCCCCATATCAAGGTGAGACCCCAACCGGGAGCCGGGAGGTGTACCCTCATTCCGGGAGACTCCCGGGCAACCGGGATCTTCTGGCAACACTAGTGATCAGACGGATAGTATGTGTGAATACAACTCCCGGTGCCATAACTTATTGTTATCTAATATTAGAGTAAATAATAAATATAATTGTAAATCTCGTTTCATTTTAACTGAAATTTATTTCTTTACACAATTTTACCCTATTTTGAGAGACAAGTGTTTAAGAGTTTGTATGATTTATTAGCAGTTGTAGTAAGCGATGAGATAGTAATTATGATAGCAATAAATCTACCACAGTAAAGCATAAATCCATACATTAATAATAATCTTATTACAAATATCACCTTGGTCCAAATAATAGTGTATAATAGAAACACAACACCAAAGCCTAATGTAAGCCAAACCGATAGTAAATATTTGGACCAATAAGTGGTGTTGTATTCATTGATCTCCACATAAACGCTATTCAATGATCCGATTATTACAAAAAAATTGTTTATATTTTTTGCTGATTTGATTCTTGTATTGATTACATTAATCTTACTTTTTAAATAATAAACTAAAATATATAAATATATAAATGACCATGATAAGCAATTGATTGCATTAAACGTAACCAAAGTAAACAACATAGCATTTGGTGCACCAAATATCAATGTTGTAAATATTGTTTCATACAATGCATACGGTATTAAACATAACAAACCCATGTATTGCGACATATAATTGCATATAAAGTGATTGATTTTGAATATAGTTTTCGCTGTTTTGATGAACCGATAGAGGGATTGGGGGTCCGATAGACCTACACTTTGAGGGGTTACTAAACCCGCGAGCATTTGAAATACCCGTAAAAATGTTGGTTTAATTCTATACACGTAGTTATATCTAAATATCAATTGACAAATAATACAAAATAAAATGCCAATAATTATTACCATTTTCATATAAATACCGGCGCCAGTGATATGCGAAAAATCACCAAATATTATAACAATTGTTTCACTTTGACCATCATTTATTATACCAATACTACAAAATAACACCATCAACCAGTATACTACAGCAGTGCCTGTCGGCGAATAATACCATGGTCTTTTGATCCATAATTTAGGTTCAAATAGTGATAACCCTATTCTATACAATTGATTCTCTGCTGATTGTATTCGCAATTCTTTAGGCAATAATTCATTGCATTTAATTAAAGTCATTTTAATAAATTATTTTGACAAATATATTGTTTAAAATATAATTTAGACTAATAAGAGAATATTAATATTGCTAAATAAATTATAAACGAACTTATTATAATTTTTTTACCTTAAAATTACGAAATTTACTTAAAAATTATATTTACTCAATATAGCAAATTAATACTATATTACAAATATTACTTATATAATGATGTTATCAGATAATTAAAATAATAATTAAATTGAATAACTTACTGTTTAATGCAAATTTAATATTTAATATCTATTCTATAATATTAATACAACTGTATTGTAATTATTTTCATATAAATAGTTAAGTTTATTATCTTGTTTTTTGTATTTTATTAAATTGAACAGCAAATTAGGTGTAATTTATTAACACATTATTCTGCAGTCATATTAGTTTTATATTTATAAAATGTTTTACAATGTTGTTTAATTATCCAATTATGGTAATACATCAAAAAAACAAGAATTTTATATTAAGCAATATAGAATGTTACAAAAAATAATTATATTAATATATATGTATTAATAGTATGTTTCTTATACTGTGCAGTATACAGGGTGTTCAACCATTGGCGCGGGTTTTAATTTTTTTATTACTCAAAAACTACAAAAGATATTTTAATCAAATCAATTGCAAATTAAAGATAA